GCATATTCCGTGAAAAATTCGCTCCCAAATTCCAATTTTTAAGCATCAAAATGTCAGTTTGAACTTTTATTCCGCCATAAGGATCCATGTACAATTTCGAAACTTCAAACACGTATTTCTCGAAATAGCAGAAACTGCATTTTTGCGCCATGTGCGCCTTGTCCTCCAAGCCTAGCAATTATCTCGTGACGTTGACTCCTTTGGATCTGAGCTCGCTTGGAATTGACCCGCTGAGTTCGATTTTCGAGTCGGAAAAGCTCCGCGAGTCCCTCGCTTCGAGCTATCCGCTAAAAACGCTCCAGAGACACAGGCAAAAAGTGGTCAGAAAAGCTCCTTTTTGACCAGCTTTTGACTGTTTCTCGACTCAGGAAGCCTCGCAGAGAGCCAAGACTGTGCGGAATCGATTCTACGCCTCCAACTACATAGGATGCGACTGAAATCTTGAAATTTATTCTCAGTCCCAAATCGAGAAAAATCGACAGGGGTTACATGTACTAAATTATTTAGCGTCAAAATCGATAGTTCGCCGATCGGGTCGGAACCAAGTAAGCTCGCTTGGAATTGACTCGCTGAGTGCGATTTTCCAGTCGGGAATAGCTCCGCAAGTCCCTTGTTTCGAGCTAGCCGCTGAAAACACTCCAGAGAAAGAGTCAAAAAGTGGTCAGAAAAGCGCCTTTTTGACCAGTTTTTTACAGTTTCTCGGCTCAGGAAGCCTCGCCGAGAGTCGGGACCGTGCTGAATCGATTCTACGCTTCCAGCAACGTAGGATGCGACTGAAATTTCGAATATTTTTCTCCGTCCCAAATCGAGAAAAATCGACACGGATAACATCTACTAAATTTTTCGGGTCAAAATGGAAATTTTGCCGATAGGGTCGGAACCAAGTTAGCTCGCTTGCAATTGACCCTTGACCGATTTCTGTATCGAATGTGAGGATTTTTTCCAAACAGTATTCTGCTTTCATTTCTCTTAATTTTGCCGATTTTTGGGTTTAGAATGATTCTTTACACTCATGCGCAGGGGCTATCGTCCTTTTTTTTGCTGAAAATTCAAAATCTGCCGAGATTTTTTATCTAAAAGATAAAAAAAAGCGACAAAAATGTATCCAAACATGGTTTGCAGGGGGCGAGTCTATAGTACGTGTACACGTAAAATTGCGAAAAATCAAAATCTTGACTGATCCTTTTTTCGAAATACGCGATTTAAGATTTTCATAGTAAATACAACTTTTCCACTGATTTTGATCCGATTTTTTATTTATTTGTACATTGAATCGGTGTTGATCGGTTAACGTTTTCATTTTTCGTTCGATTCATGTCGATCATACATACCCTCTCGTTACACGCACACTTCCTTTCATACCCTTTTTTTTAAACTGAAAAATTCGCCTTCAGCTGCGTCTGCAGCAATTGTTGTTACGAATATGTTGTGCGTGTTGGTTTCAGGTCATTACATACTCGACTCTCTGAAGGCGTTTTATGTGCGCAAGTGGCGTACCCTGTTGGAGAATTGGCGAATTGCTCTCGCACACAAAACGCCTTCAAAGAGTCGAGTATGTAACTATCTGAAACCAGCACGCACCGCATACTCGTAACAACAATTGCCGCAGACGCAGCAGAAGGCGAATTTTTCGGTTAAAAAAAAGAGTATGAAAGGAAGTGTGCGTGTAAAGAGAGGGCATGTATTCAATCGACTTGATTCGAACAAAAAATAAAAACGTGAACCGATCAACACCGTTTCAATGTACAAATAAATAAAAAGTGGATCAAGATCAGTAGAAAAGTTGCATTTACTATGAAAAGAGCCGTATGCAAAAACGACATTTTTCGCCCCCCCTCTAAAACTTATTCAAACTTCGTCTATCAGTTACTAATACTGGAGCGCTTCTTTCCCCAAATTTTCAGACCCCCAAAAAATTTTGGGGGAGCGCTAGAGGGGATGGAAGTCAAAACCTGTGACCCTCGATATCTTTCGAACGAAACAAAATATTGAGGCCCGGTTTGGACGAAAAATCGTCTAAAATTGCATACTTTAAGGCTCTGAAGGTCAAAATCCCAAAATTAAATTTTTAACTTAACGTATGTGCTTTTTTTCAGTTTTTGAGGAAAAACAATTTCTTTTAAACAGATTAAACTGAAATTTCACATTTTTTGATTTGAACCAAAACCAGTTTTTTAAATTGCTCGTCTTTTTTCGCATCCAACGAGTGGTCGTATAAGCTGGAGAATCAAACGGTTCCGGAGTTATGATCGATTGAAGTTTCCGCTCAACGCGCGCCGACCGATTTTCGCGCGCAAAAAAGTCGGATTAGGCTGTTATTAAATCAGATTTAATGTTCAAATTGAGCAAAATACATTATTAGGGACTCTTAAGGGTCGCTGAGTCCAGAAATTACAGATACTTCGAAAAAATTCACGTTTTTAAAATTACAGCTCCGTAGCGCTATTTTAGAGGCCCACTGAGCGCCGACCGGCCGCTCAGTAGTCCTGTACGGAGCTGTAATTTTAAAAACGTGAATTTTTTGGAAGTATCTGTAATTTCTGGACTCAGCGACCCTTAAGAGTCCCTAATAATGTATTTTGCTCAATTTGAACATTAAATCTGATTTAATAACAGCCTAATCCGACTTTTTTGCGCGCGAAAATCGGTCGGCGCGCGTTGAGCGGAAACTTCAATCGATCATAACTCCGGAACCGTTTGATTCTCCAGCTTATACGACCACTCGTTGGATGCGAAAAAAGACGAGCAATTTAAAAAACTGGTTTTGGTTCAAATCAAAAAATGTGAAATTTCAGTTTAATCTGTTTAAAAGAAATTGTTTTTCCTCAAAAACTGAAAAAAAGCACATACGTTAAGTTAAAAATTTAATTTTGGGATTTTGACCTTCAGAGCCTTAAAGTATGCAATTTTAGACGATTTTTCGTCCAAACCGGGCCTCAATATTTTGTTTCGTTCGAAAGATATCGAGGGTCACAGGTTTTGACTTCCATCCCCTCTAGCGCTCCCCCAAAATTTTTTGGGGGTCTGAAAATTTGGGGAAAGAAGCGCTCCAGTATTAGTAACTGATAGACAAAGTTTGAATAAATTTTAGAGGGGGGGCGAAAAATGTCGTTTTTGCATACGGCTCTTTCAAAGCGCGTATTTCGAAAATAGCACTAGGCAAGATTTTGATTTTTCGCGATTTTAAGTGTGCACGTACCATAGACTCACCCCGAGCAAACCATTTTTGGGTACATTTTTGTCGCATTTTTTTTTTTTTTGCTTCAAAACCACTGTGCCGGGACTCATGCGGAATTTGAGGTACACCCTTACGCCATAGGAGCAACGAATTGGACCAAGTCCAGCAGGAACTTACCAGTTACCATGCCGCATTTTGAAAAGAGAAGAGTTTGAAGTAGTTTAATACAATTAGTCTTGCATCGTATCCTGACTAAAATTCAAAGTCGAGAAAACATTTTTAAGCCTGAAAGCACGTTAAACTTCACATTTAACATTACCTAAGTTTTATGAATAAATGAAACTTCAAACCTGAAACCTGGTTCAAAGATGTATCTCTATTAAACGTGGCCGATTTTATGCGTAACGGCAAAACATGGGCTGCCAACAAGTAACCTCTCTGTAACAACGAAAATTGGATGGTAAATGTTTTTTTTTTTTTTCGATATCATGGATTAAAAATATGAAAAAACGACGCACACAAAGTGAGAATTTGTTCAACTCTCATAGCTATCGCAGGTTGACATTAAAATCGATCTGCGTACACGGAAAAAAAAGATTGTCTCGTGCAACCATGAAGATGGTCGATTCGACCATCTTGGAAAGCTGGAAACCGCGCCAACCAACTAGTTGGACGGATTAGTTAGCAACAGGTAGTGGTGCTGGCTTCATGCCGCGCGGCTGGGTCAGCCCCGCGGAGATGGTTAGAGCTGCCCGGGCGGACGGTCGCAGCGACCAACATAATAGCTAGCTTCATGCCGCGCGGCCGGGTCTAACCCTTATATTGGTTGGAGCTACCTGAGCGCGCGGTCGCGGCGCCCAACGTTTTAGCCGAAGAGGGCCTAATCAATAGTTGGTCCAACATATTCATAGCCAATGTGCCCATGATGAGAGCTGTGCCTCCTATTTTGTGCTGGTCGTTGGATCCTTCTTTGACTGGGTGATTTCATCATAATGAAAAGCTGATTTGGCTATTGAAACGATTTCCGCTCACTATTTATAACCTATCGAATCTACTTTTTCTGTCGTGGCATTTGCTATAAAAATTATCTACTGTTTCTAATAAGTAAGGTTGCATCTGCTACTTTTGGAAAGGCACATCGAATTTCACGGCGAAGTTGAAAAATGCGTACCTCCGATTGCGACGTTGCAATCTCCGCTCATGTTATATTTCTTCAAAAGCAAACCAACCAAAAATTTTTCTTGAAATTTTTTTTAAAATTTTCATGTATACAATGGTGTTTAAATTTCAAGGCAAATACTTGGTTGGTGTCTGAAAAAAGAAATAAAACATTATCAGAGAATTTGAAACGTTGCAAAGTAGATACATAATTTCGACTTGCGCCATATATTTTCTGAGGTCCCTTGGGTACGCCGCACATGATCTTTTTCATTATTTTTATGCATACAAGAAAAAAGGAGGTGAAATGCATGACAGAGAACCTTTCACTTCTTGATTTCACTAAAACACACATTGAGAAGCAGAGGAAGTTCAGGCGGAACAGAGTATTTCAAATTATCATTCTGTTGGGTGATCCATTTTCAGCATTTAATATTCACAATGTGCAGCAATAAAACTATTCCTATCAAAATAAATAATTCTGATTATTATTTCATTTATCATTTTTTTTCTTCATTTATTCATTTATGTCCTTTTAACCTAATTCGTAGGTGATTTGAAATTTCACTGAACTCCAAATTAAATTGGCCTAAGTTATTTTAGACTTTAGAATGGACTGATTGAAACTTGTATAATACACAAAAGTAAAGGAAAACAAGAGAAGTAGTAGAATAATGATTTTATAACTTAATCGAAAAAATTTAAAAGATGAGAACAAAAATTAAACATTTATAAGAGATGAAATTGAAAGACAACACAAATGGGCACACGGTTTTATCTGATGCTGCTTGGTAATTTGAGCCACTCAGTTTTGCAAAAATGTGAGAATTACTTAGAAAAGAGGCGAATTTGAATGAACTGAATCGTGCACAATCAAAAGGAATACTTTACAATTTTTGTGACTACAAATATAATTTAAAATTCGCAGAGGACATGAGCTGTGCTTGGCATCTATGCCAGTGAGGAAATTAATACCTACAATTTAACATCAGAAAACAGTTCTGATTAAAATCAAAGAAGCTACCTATTTGAAATTTAAAGTAAAAAAAAAAAAAAAAAAAAAAAACTTGGACTTTTAAAAGAATTGAGGGAGGAGGCAATTCAAATTATTTCATATGAAGTGAAAGCCAACCATACCTTCTTGATAAATATGTGAAGTCTATATGAGCCTGATTTTTGACTTAGCAGCAAGGAAAAATTGTAAATTGAAATAATGGCTGCAACTATTGTGAAAAATTTAACACAGATTACCAGATATTGAGAGAGCAAATGAGTAGTTTTGGTAATAGCATCAGATAGTAGAGCACCAAAAAATTAGGTTGAGCCATTTGTGTAAGTCATTCCTAAGATAACATGTGATTACACCTAAGAGGTTGGTGAACATTGCCTCACAATAACTTTAACTTACAACAAATAGAAAATATAAATATAGAGGAGCACATTAAACTTAAACAAAGAAAAAAAAAAACTAAAATAGTTGTAAGGCCTGCTGAAAAACCCAGACTCAAGTGTTAAATACAAGTAGGGAGTTGACAGTAGATATAAAGTCACATGGGGATTTCTCAGGAAAAGAAACCACAATTTAAGACACACAACTTACTGCAGCATGAAATTTAAGTAGGAATAGTTTTAACTTAAAACTATTTATAAAAATAAAATGACAGTAAAACCTGCAACATCAGTCTTCAGCTGAAAATTTAAGTAGAAACAACAAAAATTAAGTTGAACGTTGATTGCTTCTGGGACGAACCACAGTTCTAGACCCACAAGTGAAACACATCCAGTATATTTAAATTAAAATAAAAGCTATTAATTAAGTCAGGGAAAGCAAAACAGAAGTAATACTTGAGAAATATTTCAGTCTTAAGCTAAAAATGTAAGTAGAAACAACAGAAATTAATTTGAATGTTGATTGCTCCAAGGACGAACCACAGTTCTAAATCCTTGATGAGACACACCTAATATTATTAAATTAAAACTACAGATATTATTCAGTCAAAGAACACAAAACACAAGTAATTCCTGAGAAAAAAATCAGTCTAAAGTTTTTAAAATACATGTAGGTGGGGAACATTAGGAATTGAGTCAAACTTGGATTGCTCAGTAGAGCAGACTATACTTTAAGAAACACGACTCAAACTTGAATTGCTCAGTAGAGCAGACTACAATTTAGGAAACACAAATCAGAGCCAGAGATAGGAAAACAGCGCATTTTTTAAAAAGTAGTTTGACCTTAAAAAATTTGCGCTGACAATATAATTAAATATTATGAGCTTGCACAGAGGCAAAGATCATAACTTTACTGGAACAAGAGATGGAAATAGAAATTTTCACACCAAAAGGAACGATGTCCATTTTGACGCAAGCCTTGCCATGCTTGTATTCTACTGTGTCTTAAGGCTCATGTCACAATGGAGATAGTCTCTTTAGATGTGAATACACCTGAATTGCTTGTGATGTCCGAAATATATATTTGTGGGACAGTGTTTGAGTTTGAGGAGCACAAACATTAATACTAATATGCAATAGACACCACACTGACAATACAAGAAAAAAATGAGTTTTGAATAGCCACCTCCATTTCATTGACAAGTATAAAAACTTAATAAAAACAACATTCAAGGCACCTAGAGACTAATTTGAAGCAGATCAAAGAATGACACATAATATTCAACTTTAATTGCTCTTATAAAATTCTTATAGTGAAAATGTTTCATACAAAGTATTGCAGGTGTAATTTCACCATTTATGTCGTAGAGTTATGAACTTTTGTCCATTGGGTACAACTGAGATATTACAATATGAATGGATTTTAATATTTTTGGCCTCAATGATGGACGAGGAATCTAGTAATTCTATTTTGTAAGCATGATAATGAGCATCAAATTTTGAGACCAATATATCTCTGCAAACAAACAAAACATCATCACTCTCATTTGCATAAATTGACTGAATGTGAAAAAATTTGGGCAAATCATTTTCAGTGTCATAAAGAATAGTTGATCCTTCTGCATAGGGAATTCCATTGTATTTCACCCAAGCAGTGCTGAGTAATTCCTCTGAAACAGTTTCTGCAAAAGACACATTTTCAGGTAATTCTATGTCATTTTTTTTAATCCAAAATGCTTTAGGACTCAGTTCAACAAAAGGTTTCTCAAAATCACTCAAAAGAAGACTCATAAACTGTAATTGATGCTTTAGACTTAAAGAGTAGGTTAAATTCTTGCGACATGCGATCACATTCCCTGCCATTTTAGATTGTCGGTGCTTTGCTTCAAAACGCATTGCCCAAAGGTGAATAAGAGGACCAAATTTTTCAAAATGGGTCTGATAATGTAACAAATTGTGAAACTTGGGTTTTAAAGACTGCCCTGATAACATAAGATATAAACTATTATGCCCTTCAACAAGGGAACTAATTTTTTTAACACTTTCTAAGGAAATGGATGGAGAAAAGACAATGTCCATAATTTGTCGCATAAATGAGTACAGTTCCCAGAATGGATCACCCTCTGGCACTTTATCGCCAATTATTAGCCCCAAATGAGTCGTGAAAACTATGATTTCAGCAGCTGTCATTTTCAATTTGTCACCAGAGAGTTCTTCAGCATAAATTGCTAATGGTCTATTCCCACTATCTATTGGTCCAAAATCATAGTTTTCAAGGCGATCATTTAGAATTTTTAAGGACATATCAGGAAGAGAAATAATATTGTTTAAAATTTCTACTAAGTCATACACAAATATTCCTTTTAAACAGTCATGCATAACTTCAAACGAGGTGTTGTCTAGCACAAAAAATTCAGAAATTTTATTAAAGTAGCAAGTTTCTTTGATGCCAGTTAATGATACATTGTTGGTTTTCACATCAGCTTCATAATTGGACTTGTTGCGTAAAAGTGAAACATTTTCAGTGCATGCAAATTTGATTTCTTCTTTGGGCATCTTGCAGAACATACAGGGAAAATTGCAACTAAAACTTTCAGCAAAACCACATAAGCCGTGCAATCCTAAATTATCTCCACAAAGCAAAACTAAAACAGGATAAACTGTTCCTGTGAAGTAAGTGGTCTTGACCTTAATTCCATTTTTATGTATTGCATTGATTTCTTGAATTAACACTGAAAAAGTCCACCAATTACCGAATTTTTTTCTGTCAGAGGAGTGAAAGAGAAGGGTCATGAAAATATTTTCCAATTTTGATCTATATTGAGGGGGCAAAGTTGGTAGGGAGACATAGGTACCACTTAATTTATGTAAGCCACTGTGACTACCTAACGGATTCCCTGACTCATAGTCATCATTAAACAAAAAAAAAGGTATCAGCGAGCGAGAATCGTCTTTTACCATTTGTTTCCAATACTGTCCCTGTATAATATTGGACATGCTATCATGATCAGCAAGAAGGCTATTTTGATAATCTAATATAGTCTTTAATACCCCTTCTTTGTTGAAAAATGCAGTGAATATTTTGGTCAGGGGAATATGATGTCCTTCTAAATCTACAGCAGTTGGTAATCTTTTGTTCCCAATTTTCTTTTGAGTAATAAATTCGCCAATAGCGTACGGCACAGGTTTTATCAATAGGGATCTTTCTTCAAATTTTTTAAAACGTTTATATTCACTGCCATACTTATGGAAAATATTTTCATAATGGGAAAAAAAATTGTCGATTTCATTCTGCGTCTCTTCAAACTGGGGAAATTTGCTAATTAATAAGGTTACCTGCTTCTTCAGTGAAGCAGTGAAAAAATTGAACAAATTAGAAACATTTTCAATGATAATTTGGATTTGATTCCTAGGTATGGATGAATGACTATAAAGTTTTATGATGAAAGAGATTAGTTGATCAGTTAACTTTTCTGGAAAATTAAAATTATCTTCATTTTGAGGTGAGGAAGGAATATCATCATTAGCAGGAAAACTTACATCGCATTCATCTACAGTGAAAGTATCTGACCGTGTGTTTACAGTGGCAGTAAGAGAATTATTAATATCGCTGCCTTTCTGATTCAATGACCTAAAATTATTACTTATGAGGGCTTGCTCTTTTACCTGAGATACTACAGAGAAACTATGTTCTTTTCGAAAATGCTTGATGAATTCTCTTCTCTCGGAATATGAGCGACTACAGTTTTTTTCGCCGCAAATTAATTCTTTTTGTTTTGGATGTATATCTTTGATATGCTTCAATAATTTACTTACATCACTAAAATTACGACTTACTCCCCATGTCTTACAAACTGAGCAAAAAGGCATTTTTCGAAATGGAATCTAGATTTTCAAAGGAGACCTAAGTCTGCCGCAAAAGTTGCCAGACTTGGCATATTTATATCATATGGGGTGGTGATGTTATAGATAAATTTTTGCAAGAATGTCCAAGCCGAGATGCATTCGCTTGGATACTCTGCTCCAAACACCATTAAAATTTTAAAACAAAGATCAACAGCGCTCTGTACATCTTCCACAAAGAAGCGTTTTCGATTGAAGTATACAATGTAAGAAAATGGATTTTCTCCCACTAAAATAATAAAAGCCTGGCATTTAAGATTGGCATTAACACAGTGACTAATGCGGGCCTCTAGATCATCTTCCAAAGAGCTCGATGATGGGACTTGGATGATGAAAGATTTCACTACCTCATCGCGAGAGGGTCGCCAAACTTTAGTGTTGACCACGGTGTCATCGGACTGATTTTCTGCTGCTTTCCGCTTTCTCTTCCCAGACAAGGTTGCCGTGGGCACAAGGAGGAGGAACACATATACGGCAACAACACTGCTGGCAATTTCACCTGAAATAAAATCAAAAAATAAAAAACTGAATCTCACTAAAAGAGCATAATTTCCTCCCCCCCCCTTTTCATCGAATAGTGCAGCACCAGAACGGTGTCCAAACCTGGTTGCATATGATAAAGTGATGCAGAAACAAATAGACAAAAATTTGGATACGCTACCATGAAAACCAGTTTTTTGCGTTGTACATAAAACGCCACGATACTGATAATATTCTAAGGAAGAACTTGCTCTCAGGAACAAGTAAAAATGTTCTGCTCCTTTGAATGATTCATACAGCTTCTGAATTATTTTTAAAGAAAAATGTATTCCTCTTCCTTGAATACTGAACTGATTTTTTTTAAATATTTCTTTTACACCATTCCAAGTCTAAAGATAAGGGGGTTCTGTTCAATGAATCAAAATGAATCTGCCATTGATGCAAGCCTATGTCAAGATGTTTGATGTGTTTTTTGCGATGTCCATGATTAGATGTATTGTGTCTATAATGAATAGAGCTTTGAAGGCTTTCCTTATGTTTTTGTTTCTTAAAAAAAATTAACACATCTTACTTTGTGTAAATTTAAACATCTTGAAAGTTGGTGTTTCAATTTTCTGAAAACTAACTAACAGCTCATTGAGGAGATAGAATGCAGAAAATGAGTACGGGCACTTACATTCGGATTCGAGATCAAGCCCCAATTTTGTAACGTTATTCTTGAAGGACTGATCGTACTTAATTTTATCTTGGGCAAAAGTGATGAGAGACTTCTTCAGGTGTGTCCAAGCGTTGAACAAGCAGTGTCTTTGCCGTCCGTATTTTACAGAAAAATCAATCTCGATCTGGAAAAAGACAACTTATTTTACTTACAAAGCATAAAAATGTTAATAGTGAAGAATGACCTCATAACCAGGCACACGGGGATTTCCTTTTCCTCATTAAGGTTATTCAACATTAGTAAGAGCATCCCTAAAGTGAAATTAAACAGATTTTTGGTTTTTCACTTACGGGTCTGGTTAATTTTGCATACTTGTCCATACTTTCTCTTTTAATAATTAGGTACTTAGGTAGTAGAATAAATTTACTTTCTGCATCTATAGCTGCGCCTATTCAGGTACGCCTGCCAAATTGTGAGTTGAAATCCATTGCAAGATTCTAATAAACTTATCAGAGACAAAATCAAGGTCTTCAAAGAAGTTCTCGAGAAAATCTGTGAAGTTTTATCCTTATCTTAATTTTTACATCTCAAGAATATAAAAATATTAATATAAAATGGACCGCGTTGAACAGAAGGGAACCAAGTCACATCAGCTATTGCCAAATTTAATCGTGCAATTTAATTTTTTGCATGAAAAAAGTAGTGCAGATTTTTGTGAAAATTTCAGTAAATTTTCTCCATAATACAAGGCAAATTCCTTGAAATTTTCAAAAGAATACACACAAATGTTCTCTCTTAAAAAATAAAATGTCCCTGTTAAATTTGGCAATAGCTGATGTGGCTTAGTTCCTTTCTGTTTAACGGGGTCCAAATTTGGATGTTGGTCTGAGAGCATAAACAAAATTTGAACCTGTCAAAATATAACTTACCAGGTCTGCTACTTGAGATGTTTTGCTCAGACATGGAAATGCTTGTACATATTCATTGATATCAAGGTCTAATGTTTCAAATGAATGTAATCTTCGATGCGCAGTTAATTTCCACTTATTTATTACCAGATCCCAAGGCGTGATGTAAGAATAAAGCCATTCGATGCATGCTTGGTGTTCCTCATCACTCACTTCAGCTGTGAAAAGAAAAAATTGATTACAACATGATAAAAGTGGTCAGTGATGCGATATGGTTTGATGAAATCAATCATAGGTAGCTTAAGCTTAATAGCTAGTTGATTAGATGACGTTAACCAGTGAAATCAGTATAACTGCATTACGCTTTGCCCAATTTCCTGTAGTGTATCATTTTTTCCAAGAATCTGAGCAACATGCTGATTGGGGACTTTAATAATACCTATAATTTTCTTACGCTCGGGGTAAGTCAAAACAAGTTTTAAGACGTTATTATGTTGTCTCACTGTTTCCTTCAAACATTATATGAGAGAAGAAATTAGGCAACATTAAATGCAGTTAAGCTGATGCAGCAAAGGCAATATACTGATGAGAACCGAACTATTAAATAAAAATGTAGTAAATTTTTCCTTGTATTGCAATATTTTTGTTCGGCTAGAGCAAGGAAAAACTACAGAAGGGGTGGTTTAGGATCAGTTCGAGGACTATTCACTGGACATAATGAAGGAGAGAGAAGCCCCAAAAAAAGGGAGAAGAGTTGGATTAGAAATAGAAGTATTATTAAGGGGAAAAAATATTACCTAAGTTGTAATTGAAAGAATCCACCGTTTCTTCTTTGCGGTACCCTCTCTTGCGTCGAATTCCATCATTCTTGTATTTTTTGCAAATATTGAAGTATTTATTATATAGTTTCCCACTTGGCAGTGTTCTTCTATTTTTATCAGCAAATGATGGAACATAATAGGTATCAGTCCGTTCCAGGGGGAAAACTTGCTTAATTTGATCTGTGATTCGGTAAAAATCGGAGGCCAATATTTGTTTATTTGGGTTGTCCCCAAATTCTTTTCGGATTAATAAATCAGCTAACTCATTCCTTTTTTTGTCAGTTAATTTAGAGTGAGCTTTGTAGCATTGTAATATGGCTTGGCCATCCACACTGCTACTTAAAAACTTGACCAAAGGATGCTTTTCTTCATTAGGTGATTGATCGGTATGCAATGTAACAGGGGTGACTTCTGCCTGACTTTCATTAGGTTGTGTATGGGCATCTGTTAGCAATAAGCTGGAGTTTAGAGGAGGGATTTTCAATTTTTCTTGAACAGAGCTTAGTTGATTTGTTGCAGTGGGATTTGACAAATCAGATGAGGTATTGGTTTCATCTCTATCGATCGGAGTTGATGCTGTGCCTATTAGAGATGTTAACGGAGTGGAAAAAATTGTCTGAACAGGAGTCTCGGCTTGTGAGTCTTGAGTTTCTAGGGGTGGAGTTGGTTTGGCACCTAATGCAGAAGTGTTGGACTTAGGAGTTGTGAATTTTGTTTGCAGGTGATCTTGTGAAGTTGGGGTATGTGCTGAGTCACAAATTGAACTTATTTCTGGCACAATTGCCGCTGAACTCTCAGAATTATTGTCTACAATCACTTTCCACCTTTTACTAACTTCAATACTTTCATCTATTACCGGTAAACATACGTCAATGACCTCCGAGTTGGAATTTAATGGACTTTCTACTTTGGCTTTTTCTGACTTATCTGTGCTAGAGAAGAGCCGCCTTTTGTTTAACTTGCAATGGCCGCTATTGTTATTTACTTCTGCTAGAGGCTTTCTCTTGCTGGCAACAGTTTCAACCTGGGGGAACAAGAAAAAGACTTACTTAATTTATATGATATGTGATACACTTGTTGAGATTCAAGCTAGATTCTTAAGAGAAATTTAGGCCTCAAGGGATAGGAAAGATAATCACTCGGACAATAGGGTTTGAAAGAAGAGTGTAGCTACAGAGGCGATAGAAGGTTAATTTGCAATCCAGGAAGCATCGGGAACATAGCCTTTCAGGATTTGTCTCATTAGCAGGCCACTGAAGTGACAAGGCTTCACATCTGGAATCGGGGCGAAGGACAAAACAAAATTCTCGATACACACTTTACTTTAGAACTAAAAAATTAAATGGATTTAATTTCATTTCTAACCAAATACATTTATTGGATACCATTTACAGACATGGGTTACTCCTGGTTGTAGAGTGAAAGGACTTCCTGCAACTGAGGGATGAGGGCAAATTAGCACCATTAATAGTGTTGGCGTCTAATAGATTAGATTTTGCAGAAACCCCAAATTTTAACTGGAATTCTGAACCGACATACCTGAGATCTTCAAAGATTATGGGATTTGGACAATGCACTCTGTTTTCGATAAGTTTACCTGTTCGAACTGCTTGCGCAAGTGGCAGCTATAGAAAGTATTCGCAGATACAGATGACACAGGTAAACTTCCCTAAAACAGAGTCTAAAGGCTTGGTCAAGTCCACATCGATCAGGAGATAATCCTGAATCTTCTCAGTTCCTAATTTATTCATGCATAGTGTATTTGAGATGCCTGCCTACATTACTGAAAATTTTAGAAGCAGCTAGCATAGCTTGGGAGGTGATGCGGACGGAGTATTCAAAACAATACAGTAGAAACATTTGCATGGTCTTACCTGACTCAGGCTAAGCAGTAACTTGCTCCTGGTGCTCATGATTAAAACATTTGAAACTAAAAACTGTGGATAAAGCACAATTCACAATTTAACCACGCCGGTTCGACGAAAAGCACATGGGAAATAGGCACGAGAGAAATAACAATAACAAGGTCACAATGGTGCCATCCAAATCAAGTTCTCACTGCATGTCCTTAGGATTGTAACTTCAATCTTGAATTGATTTAGCTGTCGTACAAAATGGCGTATCAAACAATTTTGTTGTCAGACATGCCAAAAAAAGGTTATTTGTCACTCCTAATCGCTTTAAAGCGAGGACCACTGTCCGAAAATAACTCAATTAAATATCCTTGAAGTTCAAGTTGGCGGTTCAGGGTGGCGAACCTGACTCTTATTTGGGTCAACCTAGCTCTTCGGAGATGGTTAATCTGGCCATCGAGAAAAGAGCGCCCCTACCGTCCGTTTTGTATACTTTCACCTTACTGGATGTATATGTTCGCCTTCAAGATCGGTGGATGCGGCATTTCATACAGTAGCTATTATGCCTAATGCTCATGAGTCGGATGCACTTCACGATAGGTCACCCTGATTAAAGAAGATGTTCAAACCTTCTATTATTTAGGGTTCTCGTAGCTTTTTCACAATTAACCAAACTGAAATAGTTGTACGAGACAACCGACTTTTTTCCGTGTAGTAATGAACCCAAATAGACGGTGAAACTACGAGGCCACGTATCTCAGTTTGCAACGATGCAGACTTCCTATCATACATTATTTTATCATGAAAACCATTCAACGTCAATTTTTTAAAACCCCGGGATTTTTCGTCCGCGTGAAGAAAACTGTGTGGAAAATCCAAGGAATGAAATTGCTTTGTCCTCCGCCAAAAAGTAAAATGGGAGCGGAGATTTTTGAATACCGCAAACGATGTACGTGGCTTAGGTGTTCATCGTCAAAATGTTCCTCCCCAGCCCCTAATCCAGGGCCGGATTTAGGGGGTGGTCACATGGGCCACGGCCCATGGCGGCAATTTTAGGGGGCGGCAAATTTTGCAAATTTAGGTATAAAAAAAACGGATTCAGAAAAAAATATTAAAAACGAGAAAAGGCGACAAAATCTCTCATTTCCTGAGAGTTAAAGTATACATATAGTAATGCATTTTTTGCGTTGGATTTGTTCGTCTTTCAGCGATACAAGAGACAGCGCCTTTCATTGGTATAGTTGAGAGAGAAACCAAACACGCAGTTCGGCCTGGAGCGGCGAGACGCAAAGAGCAATGATGACGAGGATTTGAGTTGAAAAGGAGAAGCCCTTCGCGCGCCGCGCCAGTCAGCATGAAACACATTTAGCGCCTACAAGACTCCCCGAATACTTCACGCATTGCGTCAAACGCAGTGCGGTCAGCAGCGGTTGGCGTGAGACTCATAGTGCCTACAAGACTGCATGAATGCATTGGTGCATTTCGTCAAAAACAGTGCGGTTAGCGCGGTGGCGGAAATTAAAATTATTAAACCACATTCATATTTATTCTTTCATAATTTTTTCGTTCATTTCTTATAAATGGAAGGCCTGGACCACACAGAGGTAGGTTTACGGAACTTAACTTTCGCGCTATGTTCCGTGAACTTTGGCTAGTGTTGACTCGTGTGTTTTCGCAAAAAAATGTGCCCAACACGAATAAACACGTCTTATGCACCCCTCCTACTCAAGTGGGCAAGTGGGTATAAATCCGGCCCTGCGGAAGCACTGCAAAATCCCAAAAGATTTTACAAATCTGTAAAAACGTTCATTGTTCAAGGACTACTTAGATTTCCTATACTTTAGAGACTTACCTTACTCTCAGCAGCTTCGTTGTTTAAATTTTGTATTTGTCGGGTAACCATGCAGGTTTTACTTTTCGAGTCAAAATCGAAAGTTCTCAGACCGGGCTGAAATGAAGCTCGTCCCCCATAAAATGAGTCGAGGAGTCCGAATTTCTGGTCCAAAATGCTTCACGAGTCGATCAGACTTGACAATCGCGGATAACCGCGGATATTCGACCCTGCCCGAAACGACAAGAAATTAACACTCGTTTTTTACTGTTTCTCGGTTCAAGAAGCTCCGGCGAGCCTCGGGACCACGCGGAATCGATTCTACGCCTCCAAGTACAGGGATTTGATACTAATATCGGATTATTTTCTTTCATCGGAATGAATCGGGAAAAATCGACTGGGGTTTCATGGACTAAAAGAGCTTGATGCAAAAATAGCTTTTTCCGTCCCCCCTCTGGAACCGACTAGAAAATCCTACTCAGCGGGTCAATTCCAAGCGAGCTCACTTGGTTTTGGCCAGATGGGCGAACTTTCGATTTTGACCCGAAAAATTTAGTCCATGGAACCCATGTCAATTTTTCTCGATTTTGGAAGGACTGAGAAAAAAATTTCGAGATTACAATCGGATCCTACGTAGTTAGAGGCGTAGATTCGATTCCGCACAGTTCCGACTCTCGGCGAGACTTCCGAAGCCGAGAAACAGTCAAAATCTGGTCAAAAACGAGCTTTTCTGACCACTTTTTGACTCGTTCTCTACAGCGTTTTAAGCGGATAGCTCTAAGCGAGGTACTCGTGGAGCTTTTTCGACCGGAAAATCGCACTCGGCGGGTCAATTCCAAGCGAGCTTCCCTGGTTTCGGCCCGATCCGCGAACTTTCGCCTTTGACCCGAAAAATTTAGTCGATGTGACCCATATCGACGGTGAAACTACCAGACCACGTATCTCGTTTGCGGTGTTTAAAAATCTCCACTCACATTTTATTTTTTTGAAGGAGATCAAATCAATGTCATTCCTTACAATTTTCACAGATTTTTCTCCGCACAAAGAGGAAAAATCACGGAAGTTTTCACGAACTGACGTTGAGTAGTTTTCTATTTAAAAAATAAAGTATGAAAGGAAGTCTGCGACGTCGCAAACCGAGATACGTGGTTTGGTAGTTTCACCGTCGATATGTCGATTTTTCTCTTTTTTGGACTGGGAAAAAATTTCGAGATTTTAGTCGTATCCTACGAAGTTAGAGGCGTAGAATCGATTCCGCACAGTCTCAACTCTCGGAGAGGCTTCCTGAGCCGAGAAACAGTCAAAAAGTGGTGAAAAGCGAGCTTTTCTGACCACTTTTTGACTCTTTCTCTGGAGCGTTTTCAGCGGATAGCTCGAAGCAAAGAACTCGCGGAGCTTCGAGAAACAGGCAAAAACTAGTCAGAAAAGTGGTCTTGTTATTGATCAGTTTATGACTGTTTCTCGGCTCAAGAAGCCTCGCCGAGAGTCGTGACCGTGCGAAATCGATTCTACGACTCCAACTACGTAGGATCCGACTGAAATCTCGACATTTTTTTCTCAGTCCCAAATAGAGAAAAATCGACAGGGGTTACATGGACTAAATTTTTAGGGTCAAAATCAAAAGTTCGACAATCGCGTCCGAAACCAAGTAAGTTCGCTTGGAATTGACCCACTGAGTGCGATTTTCGAGTCGGAAAAGCTCCGCGAGTACCTCGCTTCGAGCTATCCGCTGAAAACACTTCAGGGAAAGAGTCAAAAAGTGGTCAGAAAAGCTCGTTTTGACCAGTTTTTGACCGTTTCTCGGCTCGACAAAATCAAAAGTTCGCCGATCGCGTCCGAAACCAAGTAAGTTCACTTGAAATTGACCCATTGAGTGCGATTTTCGAGTCGGAAAAGCTCCGTCGGTCCCTCGCTTTGAGATATCCGCTGAAAACGCTCTAGAGAAAGAGTCAAAAAGTGGTCAGAAAATCTCGTTTTTCGACCAGTTTTTGATTGTTTCTCAGCTCAGGAAGCCTCACCGAGAGTCGGGACCGTGCGGAATACATTGTGCGACTCCAACTGCGAAGGATGTGACTGAAATCTCAAATTTTTTTTCTTAGTCCAAAATCGAGAAAAATCGACATGGGTTACATGGACTAAATTTTTCGGGTCAATTCGAAAATTCGCCCATTGGGCCGAAACCAATGAAGCTCGTTATTGATTAGTTTTTTACTGTTTCTCGGCTCAGTAAGCCTCGCCGAGAGTCCGGACAGTGCGATATCGATTCTAGGGAAACCGATGGTTACATCCCATAGTTTTCGTGAAATTGAGATTGAATTATTTAACCTAATTTACTAGGAAAATTGTGAATATTTTTCCTCAATTTTTCAGACAATTTTGTTCTCAATTCTATCTGCGACGCGACGTTTGAAAATGTCAAGGAAAAATACGCATAATTTTCTTCAAAAACACATGTTTTATCCGGGGCAATTTGGGAGCTCTCGAATGTTCATTCGACGTTCTTCCTTAGCACGGCAGGATTGTTCTCAGTGCTTAGTCATATTTTCTTACCTCCGAGACTCCTTATTAATTTCTCGAAGCAATATAAGCACTTTTTGACACGACGATCAATGTTGTCTAATAACTGACCAGCTCAAGCGAGTTGGGTGGCATCGTCACTGACCGGTCATCGACAGCATTGGCTTATACCTGGTTTTTGCCCGTCAGCATATGAATTATTGGAAGGACAAGGATTAGGAGGTATAACCTATAGCTGCAAAATTTCAAATTTTACAAAATGACTTTGAGTCAGGAACTGGAGTAAAGATGATTTAGATTTTTATTTAAATGACTAATAAACAACAATACTAGGTTTGCTACTAATACTGATAAAATCGGGGCTACAGAAAGACCGGTAAACGGTAAATGCGACTGAATCCAAATTCGAACTCAGCCTTCATATTGGCGAAAAGGGTCAAAATTATGAAATTTGAATGAGTCAACGCGCTTACGACGAAAGTTATCGTGAACGAAAGAAATTCGCGGACAGAGACCGTGTGATCATTACAGGCGGTATTGACTTAATCAAAAATTACTTTAAGTTAGAATTCATACTCACGTTAGATTTCTTTTACGTTTGATTCTGCCTTTCATTTTTATAACATAACTGACTCCGTCGAGGGGGAGAGGCTTGGAGGACAAGGTTCATGAGCAGGGCCGGTTTTTCCTACTTACCGCCCATGGTCCGCCTGTATTTTGCCGCCCCCTTCTCATTCGTTTTGAAACATCAATGAAAACCATCTAGTGAACATGCCGGAGGGGAGGGGAGGGGTGCATAAGACACGTTTACCTACTCGTGTTGGATACATTTTTTTGCAAAAGCCCTGTCAACACTAATAACAAAATTTCACGGAACTTTGCGCGAAAGTTAAGTTCCGTAAACCTATCTGTATGTGGACAAGGTCCTCCATTTATAAGAAATGAACCAAGAACTTATGTAAGAACAGACATAAATGTGGTTTAATAATTTTAACTTCCGCCGCTGCGCCGCGCTGATCGCACTGTGATTGACGCAATGCGTGAAGTATTCCTGCAGTCTTGTAGGCGCTATGCGTTTCACGCCAACCGCTCCTGACCGCACTGTGTTTGGCGCAATGGGTGAAGTATTCGTGCAGTCTTGTAGGCGCTAATATGTGTTACATGCCGTTCGCCGCGCCGAGGGCTTGTCATTTTCATCTCAAGTCCTCGTCATCATTCTTCTCTGCGTTGAGCTCCAGGCCAAATTGCGTGTTTAGTTCCTCTCTTTACTCAACTAATTAAAGATGCTGTTTCTTTTATCACCGAAAAACGACAAAA